CTCAGGATAGGTTTTGTCAGTATTGCATCACGTTGCCAGGAAATTAATAACCTAAATTAACTCTCAGGTGTAGATTCTGGTAACAAGTCTTTTCAGTTCAGCTGTGAATCCTCCCGACAGTCAGTGATCTTTAAGGCTGAAATCAAGAGAGATCAAATTATCCTTAATTATCCTGTGATCTCGAGACACGAAAGTCGTTTTCTCGTGATTATCTCTTTATCTCAAGAAATCAGCCTTTTGTTTTATCAAATTAACTCATGACCTCGAGATAGCGGCGTAAAAAAAAAAAAGACTGTAAGCATGGCTGCTCTCGGCCTCCGTAGATAAGGAAGCACTTTGCATCTACCCAAAGGAGACAATCTTTCATAACTCAGAGCCGTTACCCTTTCTATTCAGTATTCACTGAGTATTTTCATACTCTTCTGATAAAGCTCTGGGAATTATCAGCACATACAACTGCCACACTTACACAGCAGGGCCAGTTACACCCTTAGACCTCGCAACAAAAGAGAAAGAGAAAACAATCAAGCAGTGCCACTTCCTCATTTACCTGCAGGTCAATAAGGTCTTGGATCATGTGTTTATTCCAGAAGAAACGGTCATCCACCTTTCACAGAGAATACAAATTATTATCAATCAGATTTAAGGGTTTTAATCTTTCAATAAAAACCCAACAAGTTGTTAAATGTGTTCGTGTCCTCACCTGTTTCCATAGTGGTAAACTGGATTTATCCGAGTCTCCCTGACGCTGCACACTGTTCGTCAGGTCGTAGGTCATGCTGTAGTAGAAGGAGTCCGAGTCCATGAATACCTTATACAGCTCATCCAGCAGCCGCCTCTCCAGACGTTCCTTCTCTTTGTTTTCCTTGACCTGGAAGGCAGGGGAATACTGGATTGGGATTGGACGGATAGAACAGAGCGATAAGCTGACAAAGCAAAGAAAGCAAAATCTATGAGACCTTCAAAAGTGTGAAAGAAAAGGAAAAGTTCAGGGTAAGAGAATACACTTTCATGAAGTGCACAATACAAACACATACCTTTTTCTTGATGGGCACACCCACGTTAGATTTGATCTGGCTGAAAGTTTTCATCAAGAACTTCTCATCGGGAGACTGGGCCAGTTTCTCTGGTTTGTCGATTCCAAAGTGATGCTTCTTGCAAAGCTGAAAAAGAGGATCCTCCGTCAAATGTATGCAATTTTACATGTGTCATAAACATAACGGTGATATCTATAATAGAATTTGGTACCACCTTGAATTTCTTATAACAAGAAGTAAACAAAGAGTTTATTACTACCCACTACGAACAGCCAAAAACAAACTCTACAGTATATTGTTCTCTTTTTTCCTACAGCTACATTGATCTAAAGGACTTCTAGACACAAAAGGGTTGGACGGATCACTCTGCAGTACGAGGACAATGTACAGCAGTACGGGGTCTAAAAGCCTATCCAGGAACAATCATCCTCCTCCGTATTTACTCACTTGAAAATACTCTGTCTCACCGTCCATGAAGCTCCCCTGAAAGACTGAAATCTTAGCAATATTCAACTTCCTTTGAGATCTATCACAGAGATTTCTTTACGTCTGCATTTAATTCTCATTCCAAATGTGTGGGCGATAAACAAAATTGATCTTTGAATAAAATAAAACATTTACTACTCATTTTGCATCACTGTCAGCCCATCCGAGATGAATCATACTCTTACGCACATTAAATAACAAATTAGGACTCTCACAAGCGCGGTTACATTGCTTGTCGGGAGCTAAATGCAGTAATTAAAACACAAGTGCATAAACACCGGTTCATTACAGCACACACACCTCCAGCTCGAGCTCCTGAGGCTCCTCGTCAGACAGAGGAATGACAGCTATCTTGGTGATCTTGTAGACTTTGTGATTGCCTGGTAAATGGCCCACGAGTGCTTTCTGGCGGATTAATACGAGGCCCAGAGGAAGATCTGCCAAGAGGAGAAAGAAGAAGACGAAGAAGAAGGGGGGAGCTGAATCATGGGTGAAGAATTCCTCACATTCTGAAAGGTGTGAAGAAAGCAGCTGCACAACCAGCCATTTTATTTTAAATAAGATAACACAAGACATCTGGTAAATAAATATTAAATCCATCTGAATTTACAAGAATAATCTATATGTCTGTGAAGGGTATAATATTCAATCTTCCTTCCCTGAGGGAACACAAGAGGCAACAGAATCAGATCATAAATTTGAATCATCACCATCAGCTCACTCCTCTTCATAACTACACGCATTTCAAAAGTACTTTTACACCATTTTTCACACTTTTCCTGTTGAGTAAGAAACATACTAAGCACTGGATGATCTGGTAACTCAAGTGTCTAGTGCACACAGATGGAAAATACTGGCAAGAATGTGTGTATGTGTGTGTGTGTGTGCTCTGTGCAAAACAAAACAACTGAGGATGAAATGTTTATTCTCCACTTACCTGTGTGAAGCTGTATCTTTCCAATCACACCTTCTACCAAACCCAAACACACTGGATTCCAAGCCAACAACAGGTCTGTTGCTGAAATATAAAGAAAACATGGACATCAGGACATCGGCTCGGGATCAAACACGACTAAAACAACTAGATATTCACACACTAAAAGGCTTCACCTTCTCAGTTCACTAAACAGAAAGTACCTCAACATAGTCATGGTTGTGTGGTTTCCTGTTGCCATGCTAAGACCTGTTTTGAGTACCTCAGTAAAACACTCTTAACCTCAAAAGACTTGACGACCTACTTTAAAGATTGCAGCTGAAACAAGCCGTCGATAGATAGAGGGGTCTCAGTAAATCAGTCTCATAAGGTGTGTCATTCATTATGCATGAGAAGTACAGCTATTACACTCACTTTATTTAAGAAAGTGTAATCTGACTGGAGAGGATCGTCTCAATTCACTGACACAGCAGGATGCGTTTGTTACGCCACTGAACTAACCCGGTGACTAAAAAGGAAAACTGGAATGCTTAACGTTGGCGACGGATTAAACATCGTAGTGGAGAAAATTGGAAAAAATGTGAAGGGTGTGGCCAAGGGTGGAGAACTAACTGGAGGCAGCTTCAGACAATGACTCTTCCTGTTCCACCAGCCAGACAATTTCATGTACAGCCGAGGGGAACTGGCTGTGAGGGGCCCGGCAAGAAAAGGCTCTTGTAGGCATAAAATAATAATAAAACTAATCTAAAAGAATAAGATAAGCTCTCCTCAGCGTGTGTATTATCATGGAAATACTTCTGTGTGATTGAGAGTGGAGTGGAAACCCAGCGAGGAGTGGAAACTCCTTTTTCCAATTAAATAATGAAACAGTGGTGCAACTAAAAACCTGTTCAGGATGGCTGCACCGCCACACAGCAGGGCAACACGCAACAGCCTTATAGAAACTTCTGTCTTACTTCCAGCGGTTTCATTTCACTTCACCTGGGAGTATTTCTCACAACCCCAATAGTATTCTCATTCAATAAGAAAGTGTTGCAACAGTGCTCACTTCTGCAATGTGACCGAGGTGTGCTTGCCAGGAGCTGCTTTAACAGACTTAACATGCTGGTTTGACCCTGCATTTATTGCGCTCTTCTTGTTTCCCATGCATTATAATGGCAATGCATGTTAAATCATATTAGAAAAGGGGACATCTGGTGAGCTATGTAAGCCAAAAGCTTCACTTCACCTGTGTGTTTGACTTAAAGAAGCACTGAAAAGGTCACATTTACCCTTCAATGTGTAACATAAGAGGCAGAGCAAACTTTTGGAGTGTGTTTGGGGTGTTGGCACTCCCGGAATGAAAGCCAGGACGTGGATTTCAAGACTTAATCACGTCGCACACACCTATTTTCTACCTCTTCACCTAAACAGCTTGTTTCGTGTAACGCAGCTGGTTAATTCAGAGCGATTAAATGACTACACACTGAGATTACACTCCTTTGGATGACACTTAAAACACCAATAAACTCCTGTCTGTCAGCTCCAAACACACACACACACACACACAGCTTTTTATCCCTCTCTAATAACACCAAATGTGAGTTTAGAGGCAGCAGAGAGGAGGTACGCACCAGGTCTGACCGTCATGGTCCCGTCTCTCCGGCTGCACCACAGAGCTCGGTCCCCCCTCTGGAGGATGTAGTCGTCTTTGGCCTGGAACAGCTCCATTTGTTGGTCACCTTTCACGTTACACACACACACACGCACACGCACGAATAAAAGCAGGTAACTAACCGGGGTGCGGGTGGAAAACCCAGCGACTTCCACCGAGGTTTGACTGCTTAGCTACGGTTAGCTTCCGCGGCTAGCCACCTAGCGAGCTAGCAGCAGCTGGATGCGCGTCGGGTTCAGTTTATTCCACTTCTGCGCATCCTGATAATGTGATTCCCGTCCCGCCGTCATACTGGAGAGAGTTAAACATAATGTATAAAAACATCAATGAGTGAGCAGGAGTCCTCACAGCAGCAGCTCTCTCTCCCTCTCTCTGTGTGTGTGTGTGT